GAGGCTTCTTGGAGCGTCTTGGGGACCTCTTGGCGGTCCCGGACGCCTCTTAGAGCGTCTTGGGTGTCTCGGAAAGCTTCTTGGGGCCTCTTGGGGGTCTCTTGGGAGCCTCTTGGAGGCCTCTTGGGCGCCTGTTGGGGCCTCCTGGGGCCTCCTGGACGCCTCTTGAGGCCCTCTTGAAGCGCTTTTGGGAGCCTTGGGGGCGCTCTTGGAGCCCTCTTGGGCCATCTTGGAGCCATCTTGAGGCCTCGGCGATAAAGCCAAAAGCATGGATTATCCCAATGTTTTGGAAGGATGTTGGCCTCTTCGGGGCCTCCTGGGGGAGCTCTTTGGCCACTTGGAGCCGTCTTGGAGCGGTCTTGGGGCCTCTTGGAGCGTCGTGGGCTCTTGGGAGCCTCTTGGGGACATCCTGGGGGCCTCCTGGGGGCCTATTGGGACTTCCTGACCACCTCTTGGGGCCCTCTTGGGGCACCCTTGGGAACCTTGGGGGTCATCTTTGGGCCAGATTGGGTGAGATCGATCACAGGAGGGGGGGGTACTGATTCCAGTCGCCCCCTCAGAAAGCCAAAATGGGGTGAAAACCTTTGAGAAACAATGATTTTGGCTTCCTCGCCGAGGCCGTTTTGGACGCTCCGACAACTCGCGACCCCCCCCCGTCCAGGTCCAGGGGAGGGGGTAAGGGGAGGGGTCAAGACCCCTTCACCGCCCGCAAGCCTTCTCGCTCACTCCCACCCGCCCTCCCAACACATACGTAGCACCCGAGTCTGGCCCGAGCGTCAGCATATTCAGCAGTCGTCTTTGGATGGCCAGCTACTGGGGGCGAATCCGCCGCCGCCGCCGCCGCCTCCGCCGCCGCCGCCGCCGCCGCGCCGCCGCCCGCCGCCCGCCGCCGCCGCCCCGCCGCCGCCGCCGCCGCCGCCGCCGCGCCCGCCGCCCGCGCCCGACGCCCCCCCGCCGCCGCCCGCCGCCGCGCCGCTGCCGCCGCAGCCGCCGCCACCGCCGCCCGCAGCCGCCGCACGCCGCCGCCGCCGCCGCAGCCGCGCAGCCGCCGCCGCGCCGCCAAGTGTACTCTGTATTGTTTTTTCCCAACCATCCTGTGGTGTTGGGTCCTCGTTTTGAAGAGACGGTGCCCCCGTCCTCCTTCCTTCCTTCCTTCCTTCCTTCCTTCCTTTCCTTCCTTCCTTCCTTCCTTCCTTCCTTCCTTCCTTCCTTCCTTCCTTCCCTCCTCCCCTCCTCCCTCCTCCCCCTCCTTGCTTCTGCTCTCGGCACACCTCCCGCACGTTTCGTAGCCCCATAGGGAGCTCCACCGAAGGTCCCAGTGGGGGGGGGGGGGGGCGCATGCGGTTCCCCCACCCAGGGCAGCGTTTCGTGGCCCCACCGAAGGCCCAATTGGGGGTGGGCGCATGCGGCTCCACCACCCAGGGCAGCGCTTCGTGGCTCCATAGCGAGCTCCACCGAAGGTCCCAGTGGGGGTGGGCGCATGCGGTTCCCCCACCCAGGGCAGCGCTTCGTGGCCCCATAGGGAGCTCCACCCAAGGCCCCAGCGGGGGTGGGCGCATGCGGTTCCACCACCCAGGGCAGCGCTTCGTGGCTCCATGGCGAGCTCCACTGAAGGCCCCAGTGGGGGTGGGCGCATGCGGTTCCCCCACCCAAGGCAGCGTTTCGTGGCCCCATAGGGAACTCCACCGAAGGCCCCAGTGGGGGTGGGCGCATGCGGCTCCCTCACCCAAGGCAGCGTTTCGTGGCCTCATAGGGAGTTCCACCGAAGGCCCCAGTGGGGGTGGGCGCATGCGTCTCCCTCGCCCAGGGCAGCGTTTCGTGGCCCCCACAGGGAGTTCCACCGAAGGCCCCAGTGGGGGTGGGCGCATGCGGTTCCCCCACCCAGGGCAGCGCTTCGTGGCCCAATATGGAGCTCTACCGAAGGCCCCAGTGGGGGTGTTCGCGTGCGTGTCCCCTGCCCAGGGCAGCGCTTCGTGGCACCATAGGGAGCTCCACCGAAGGCCTCAATCGGGGTGTTCGCGTGCGTCTCTCCCACCCAGGGCAGCGCTTCGTGGCCCCATAGGGAGCTCCACCGAAGGCGCCAGAGGCGCAGTTCGCATGCGTCTCCCCCACCCATGACAGCGCTTCGTGGCCCCATATGGAGATCCACCGAAGGTCCCACTGGCGCAGTTCGCATGCGTCTCCCTCGCCCAGGGCAGCGCTTCGTGGCCCCATCGGGAGCTACACCGCACCCCATCACAAGTTTCGTGACCCCATAGGAGCTCCACCGAAACTGGTATCCACAATGCGGTACTCGCAACTGCACATGGTTGGGTCCTTCGTCAGGCTAATTTGACAGGGATGGTGGGGGGGGGACCGCATCGGGTTGGCTGCGCATGTTCCGAGAATGGCGCAGAGTGTGTTTTGTATTGTTTGTTTTACAAGGGATGGTGGGGGGGGGTCGTCATGGACCTGGGTTGGCCCCCAGTCGCCTGGGGGAGGGGGTGTTCACTAATAGGGAACAGTGATAAACCCCTCCCCGAAGGGGAAGAAGGAGGGGTGGAAGAGGAGACGCCCTAAACCACCGACGCCCAGAGGGCTGGTGGGATTACTTACGTTCGCGTGCCCCGTTGCGACCCGCTGCAACATGACATCATCAGTTTTATACTTTGCAACATTGTTTGACATTGCGTCGGCTTGCTTGGCATTCCCTTCCCCTGCTCCTCTGGGCCCTCCTCCTCCTCGTCCTTCTCCTCCTCCTCTTCCTCCTCCTCCTCCTCCTCCTCCTCCTCCTCCTTTTCCTACTCCACATCTTTCTGCCGCTCCACCACTCGTCCTCTCCCACATCCGCTTCCTTCCCTCGCTCCCCGACATTCCCACTCCCCTCCTCCCATCCTTCGACCTCCACCAGGCGCCTTTCAGGGGCCCCTGGAGGCCTGGGAAGGGCCAGGGACCGCCCGAACTTTCGAAGACTTCTGAAAACCACCGCAGGGAAGGGGTCAAATTTCCGCGGCCACTAGGGATGGCGCGAACGACCAACAAATGCAAAGCCTCAATGACCAAGGTGCATGGCGCGAAGCGCCAATGCAGTCTTGTATACATTTATATGTACCTATACGACCACCCTGCGGGTGATAAGGAGGTTGTGGGGGGGTGGGGGGAGGGGGGTGACTCATGACGACAACTGTGATGAACGTAGTGCTGATGGGCGATGATGGTGTGGATGACGTGGCGGATTTTTTTTGGTTCCTTCGCTTGGGCGACCATGATGAGCAACCGGCGGGCAACCGACGGGACAACGTGGGCTACCGCTTGACAAGGCCGGGGGAGGGCAACATTTGTGTTGGCGGACCCCTAGCGACAGCAGAGTGAATTCCTCTTGCTGGCCCCCGCAGCTTCGCCTCGCCCGCACGCACGGCACGAGCACGAACTCGAAACTCGATTTCCCGGTGGGGGGACTCCGTTATACCGCGATCTCACCCCCCAACCTCCGATACATGTATCTATATATATATACACATATATATATGTACATATAGATATGTATACACATGTATGCATATATATATATATATATATATATATATATATATATATATACACATGTCCACCTCCCGCTGGGGTCCCAGGACGTTGGCTCCACGGGCGGTGGATATGGATGTGTGCCCGCCTCGCGCCGAGCAGGGAGCACGGCCGCGGGCAGCCTGGCCCCTCCTGCCCCCGCGCGCCGCGCGCTTCTGGGGTGCCCCTTGGCGCGAGGCGCCGCGGCGCGGGCCGGAGAGAGCTGCCCCATCTCCCCGGAGATCCGACGTCGCGAAACAATTGCAACATCGCAAAAAATCATGCCCGGACCCCCGGACCCCCATCTCTCTGCGTCACTTTTCCAGCCGGATCGATCTGTGAGGGTCCCGGGGCCCGGAATCGAGCGATAACGCCCGTGGCGAAGAAATTGCAACGCCAGGATCTCAGGGTCCACGGGCGGCGGCGCGGGGGCGCGCAGGCGTGGGGCAGCCGCGCCCCGTGCGGCACGCGCGCCGCGCGCGCCCCGCGCGGCGCACGAGGCCGCTCGCGTGGCCTGGGCGCCTCGCCCAGGCCACGCGCTGCTGCCTGGAGCTGCCCGGGCGCTGCCCACGGGCCCAGGAGGCGCTGCTACCTGGAGCTGCCCTGGCGCTGCCCGCGAGCCCGGGAGGAGGGCGCCGCCCGGGATCAAGGTAGGAAACACCACCCGGACCCGATAAGTAGCGTCTTCTGAACGGCCCTGGGCGTTCATTAAGCAGCCCTGCCCTGCTCGATTCGTTCCATGGGTGTGTTTACTAAACGGCTTCGCGTGTCGGGGTGTCGGGGTGATTATTATGGGGGCGGATTTGGAGCCGCCTGGGAGCTCCGCGCGACCTCGGGAAGCGCGCTGCGCAGGAGCTGCGCAAGCGCATGCGGCGCAAGCATGGGTCGGCGGCCAGCCCGGGGGTGAAGCAAGAGAGGGCGAGCCTGCTCAAAAGGCTCGGAAGTCCCCCGGCCTTCCGAGAAGTGTTCTAAGCCTCTTCCGAAGACGCAGAACATGTTCCACAAGGCCAGGGGGCTTCTGAGAAACCCCGCTGCCTTCTGAGAGGGCCTTCTCCTTCTCATTTCCCCCTTTCGCTCGCCGCCGTGCAGTCAACCCGCTTAGTAAGGATGAGCGGCTTTCCAATGTCCCCCTTGCATCCTGCCCCTCAGGCCCATCTCTGCCTTCGGGGGAGCCCTCACCGCCACTGCCGGGCGCGGCTCTGGAGACGGGTCAGCAGGTGGCCCAGGCGGGGCCCCGAGGGCCTGTCTTGAGCGGTCGGCTGGGCTTGCAGTGGAAGCGGCCGCACGAGTTGATACCGTCGAGCAGCCTCGGGCTGCAGACGTGATGTGCGATCGGAGGACACGATCACAGTCTGCAGCGGACCGGGCGGCCCGAAGAGGCGGCCTTCAGAGAGGGAGCAGGTTACGCACATGAAGAGGAGCAGTATGTAGCTGCAGAATTTGTACGTGCCTCGGCGCAGGTATCAGACGGCGTTAACGAGGAGGGCAAGGACCCAGATCCCTACGCCAAGCGCGCTATCTTTTGGTGTAGTCCCGATTCGGTGGTTGCAGTGTCGGAGCACATGTGCCTGTCTGAGCGTGTCCGTGCCTTGTTGTCGCACCGCTTTCCTTCGCTTCCCTACTCTCTTCTTTCTCTCCTCCTCTTTCTTCCACCTCTTCTCCCCGCCCTGCCGAGCCGTCCCTGCCTTGCCCAGCCCCTGTTCTCCCATGCTACGCCGCGTCCCAGCTCGTCCTCCATTCTCCTCAGGAGGAGGATTGGGAGGAGGAAGAGAAAGGGAAGACGTAGTCTTCGGGTCTCGCTGAGTCGCTGGCAGACAGTTGGGCTGACAACGTAGCACCCCGCAGTTGCGAACAAGAGTGAGGGGGCGGCGGGGTCGTCGGCAGTCTGCGAGGCTCTGAAGAAGCTCGGCGCAGGCGCCGAAATTTTAACATATTGCAGAACGAGCTCGTCGCAGGCGCCGATTCTTTCGTCAAAGCAATGTGGGTGGGTCGCTGGTGAGTTGCCGGTTGGGTCGCGGGTGGGTCGCGGGGCGAGTCGCGTGTGGGTCGCGGGGCGGGTCGCGGGTGGGACTACGACAACAAATATACAAACAAGCAAACAAGCAAGCAAGCAAGCAGACAAACAAACAAACAAACAAACAAACAAACACAAGCAGAATTCGCGCCGCGGAATTCCATTTCAGCCACGCACCCAGGGACAGTGAATGTCCGTTCACCCCCCTCGCTCTGATATGTATACATCGATGGTTTGAAAACAGCTTCTGCCAGTCTGGCTTTAGAAGCCCGCGCCAGGCGAGCCGGTGGCGGCATGCGCCGAAAGAAAGAAGGATAACGAGGGTAAGGAGGAGCAGAAGGAGAATGAGGGAGACGGAGAAAGAGGGCGAGGAAGATGATGATGATGATGATGATGATGATGATGATGATGATGATGATGATGATGATGATGATGATGATGATGATGATGATGATGATGATGATGATGATGATGATGATGATGATGATGATGATGATGATGATGATGATGATGATGATGCTGATGCTGATGCTGATGCTGATGCTGATGCTGATGCTGATGCTGATGCTGATGCTGATGCAGATGCAGATGCTGATGCTGATGCTGATGCTGATGCTGATGATGCTGCTGATGATGCTGATGATGCTGATGATGCTGATGCTGATGATGATGATGATGCTGATGATGCTGATGATGCTGATGCTGATGCTGATGCTGATGCTGATAATGATAATGATGATGATGATGATGATGATGATGATGATGATGATGATGATGGTGATGATGGTGATGATGGTGATGATGGTGATGATGATGATGAGGAGGAGGAGGAGGAGGAGGAGGAGGGAGAAGGGAGAAGGGAGAAGGGAGAAGAGGAGCAAAAGTAGACAGGGGCTCTGGCAGACTGGAGGGTCCCAGGGAATGGGGGAGTAGCCTAGAAGGGGGGCGGGGTCACAAGTCAGTGATTTTTTGTCAACTGTGTACGAGTTGTCCAGACAGGTCCTCCTCCTCCTCCTCCTCCTCCTCCTCCTCCTCCTCCTCCTCCTGCTCCTCCCCATCCTCCCCCTCCTCCTTCAGTTTCTCGCCCTCCTCCTCCTCCTCCTCCTCCTCCTCCTCCTCCTCCTCCATTATTCCCCCTTCTCCTTTCCCTTCGCCTCCTGCCTTCCTCCTATCCCCTCTTCTTCCTCCTCCTCCTGCTTCTTCTCCAATTCCTGACATCCATACATCCATTCAGCGGACCAGTAGTACGGCCCTTGGGCTGGCGCTTGCCTGGACATGTCCGCGGGTTCGTTACCCTTCCCGTCTTTGGGTCTTGAGTCGGGTATCCTCGATTCGTTCAACCCTGCCCAGGGGTTCTACCACTGAGGACCCCTCCTTATATCCAACTGCCCTTCTGAGCCAAGCCTCCTCCTCCTCCTCTGGCTTCACCGTGAGACCCTCAGCAGTTCAGCAGAAGACTCGTGTGCACCGTGCCGCGCTGGCGTATCACAAGATGATGTCGGTTCTCGACGCCGGCGTGATACGGTGCATACATCGGTTTTTCGACCCCTCAGAGTCGACAAACTATGCACCGTACCGCGCTGAAGGGAGTTCAAACTTGGGACGGTGCAGCGGTACCGTTCTCGTGGTAGTTCTGGGGGTACTTGTAGTCCTGGGTACGGTGGGGAACTTCTGCTTGGCGTGTCGCGCCGCTGGTTCTGGCGCACCACGCCTCGGCGCGACACGCTGACCACGTCCCCAGTCCGCAGGCATCAGCGTCCCGAGCGTTTCCCAGCCTCCCGGCCCGCGGAGCGGAGCGACACGCTGGCTGTCCGCTTGCAGGGCATAGCGTGTGGCCAGAGCCGCGGCCGCGACACGCTAAGCAGCACACATCTCTACCGTTGTCCTGCGTAGGGGTGCGGATAGCCCTGGGGCCCAGAGGTACCGAGGAGGTCAGAGTGCTGTCTCGCAGGACGCGGGGCGCAGAGAGAGAGAGAGAGAGAGAGAGCAGGGAGGCCGACGCACACCGTCGCTCGATTCTCTTCCCCCCGCCCGCGCACCGACCTTGCAGTCAAGGCGCTGACGCAAGAACCATGGAGGAGGAGGAGGAGGAGGAGGAGGAGGAGGAGGAGAAGGAGGAGGATTTGGGCTCAGGTGAGGCTCTGGTCTTCGGTCCGTGACTCCGAGCAGGGTCGGGGGACCTGTTCGTGGCAGAGGCTTCTGTGACCACAAAAGGCCCCTTCGCTCCTGACTGTGAGGGCCTTGTGGCCGGTGCCGCCGACCCCGTGCACGAGGAGGAGAAGGAGAATTGTGGTGGTGACGGTGGTGGTGGTGGTGGTAGTGATGGTGGTGGCGGTGGTGGTGGTGGTGGTGGTGGTGAGGAGGAGGAGGAGGAGGAGGAGGATGAGGAGGAGGAGGAAAACGACTCCTTTGCGGATCGTTGGTTGTGAGAGCCTTTTGGAGGGCTCCTGGAGCCTCCTTGTGCGCGGAATGGGCAGCACGAGACATTGAGATATGGAGAAGGGCGGAGGAGGAGGAGGAGGAAAAGGAGGAGGAGGAGAAGGAGGAAGAGGAGGAAGAGGAGTAAGAAGAGGAGGAAGAGGAGGAAGAGGAAAAGGAGGAAGGGGAGGAGGTGGGAGGATGAGGAGGAAAGCTGCGACGACGACGACGACGACGACGACGACGACGACGACGACGACGACGACGACGACGACTGAACGGATAGGAGGGGTAGGGGGGAGGAGGGAAGGGGAAAAAGAGAGTGAGAGGCAGGGGCTCTTGAGTCCATCGCGGGGCCTTCCGAGTGCATTTTGAAGTCCCGCTAGGCTCTGTTGAGCCTGTCTTGGAGCCCTTCTGAGACTCCTTTGGGGCTGTCTGGGAGGCCAATGGAGGCCTGTTGGGGCGACGTTGGAGGCCATGGGTCACAACATGAGATTCCCTTATGTGCGCCTCCCCGTCAGAGCACGAAAGTTAACATATGTCGTTTGTTTGCGCGCTCTGGAGGCGGTGCCTGGCACTCTTCGAGCCGTGTCAGGGCCTTCTTGGGCATCCTAGGGACCTTCTTGGGCTATATTGGAGCCATACGGACGCCTCAAGAGCCGATCGAAAACGAACAGGAGACAAAGCTAATAATAGAATGATACCGGAGAAAGCCCCAGTCATAATCTCTTTAGGGTTATAGGGTTATGGGGCTATAGGGCTATAGGGCTGTAGGGCTATAGGGCTGTAGGGCTATAGGGCTTTAAGGCTATGGGGCTATAAGGCTATAGGGCTATGGGGCTATTGGGCCATATGATTATAGGGCTATAGGACTATAGGACTATAGGGCTATAGGGCTACAGGACTATAGAGCTATAGGGCTATATAGGGCTACAAGGCTATAAGGCTATAGGGCTACAGGGCGATAGGGCTATTGGACTATAGGGCTAAAGGGCTATTAGGGCTATTAGGGCTATTAGGCCATAGGGCTCTAGGACTATAAGGCTGTAAGGCTATAGCGCTATAGGGCTATAGGGCTACCAGGCACCCGGGCTACCGGGCACCCGGGCACCCGGGCTGGCCACCGACATCGGCAGCATACCTCACTTGACCATATGAATCCGCGAGGACCCCTACAGAGGCAAGCTCTGATTGGGGAACAACCTTCAGGTTTCGCAAGATGTTCGCCTCCCGGGGGGGCTCCTTCGGAGTATTTTTGGGGCGGGCTGCAGGGTTCTCAGGCCGTGTGGAGGGCATCGTGATCCGTCTTGAAGCGATCTACGACCATTTCAGCGTTGAATGATATGGGGCTTGCGTTACCGAAAGAGCGCCAGACGAGCCTAAATGCGACCCAGAAAAGATGGGGGGCGGCATTCTGACACGGCACCCCCCCCGCGGGGAAGGGATCAAAGGGAAGTACTTCCTCTCGGCTGAACTAAGACGTTCCTCCATTTCCGTGTGACTGGCGGTTGGAGGAGACGGCCCGGGGAAACGGGGGGGGTAGCGGCGACGGCGACGGCGACAACGACAACGACGACGACGAGTCAAACGGGACAGCGTCGCCTACAAGCCGACAGGGTCGGCGGATGTGGCGTTCCTTGTGGAAGCCCGATGGCCGTATCCAGCTCCGCCTGTGCCTCCCTCGCCCCCCGTCGGCCCAGAAGTTCTACAGCGACCTCATCGACGCCCTGCTGGCGGCGGTGGGCAGCGTCCAGGGGGGCCCGTCGAGGTGGAGGTCGGAGAGAAGGAGGAGTGAGGAGGAGGGAGGAGGAGGAGGAAGAGGAAGGAGGAGGGAGGAGGAGGAGGCGGAGGCGGAAGAGGAGGAGGAGAAGGAGGAGGAGGAGGAGGAGGCGCAGGAGGAGGAGGAGGCGGAGGAGGAGGAGGAGGATGAGGATGAGGAATGAGGATGAGGATGAGGATGAGCAGGAGGAGGAGGAAGAGGAGGAGGAGGAGGAGGAGGAAAGGAGGAGGAGGAGAGGAGGAGGAGGAGGAGGAGGAGGAAGAGTAGGAGGAGGAGGAGAAGGAGGAGGAATGAAGCAGTGAGTCAGTGAGTGAGGGAGTGAGCGAGCGAGCAAGCGATGTGAGGAGTGAGTGAGTGAGTGAGTGAGGAGGAGGAGGAGGGAGGGAGGGCGGAAGGGAAGGAGGAGGGAGGGAGGGAGGGAGGGAGGGAGGAGAAGAGGGGAGGAGGAGGAGGAGGAGGAGAAGGGAGGAGAGAAGAGGAAGGGAAGAGGAGGAGGAGGAGGAGGATGAGGAGGAGGCGGAGGAGGAGGAGGAGGAGAAGGAGGGAGAGGGGGAGAGGAGGAGGAGGAGGAGGAGGAGGAGGAGGAAGAGGAGGGAGGAAGAGGATGCGGATGAGGATGATGATGATGATGATGATGAGGAGGAGGAGGAGGAGGAGGAGGAGGATGAGGATAAGGATGAGGATGAGGATGAGGATGATGATGATGACGATGATGATGATGATGCTGCTGCTGCTGATGCTGATTATGATGATGCTGGTGGTGGTGGTGGTGATTGTGATGATGATGATGATGGTGATGATGATGATGATGCTGATGCTGATGATGATGATGACGATGTTGATGCTGATGCTGATGCTGATGCCGATGGTGGTGATGCTGATGCTGATAATGATGATGATGAGGACGATGATGGTGGTGATGCAGATGATGATGATGGTGGTGATGATGATGATGCTGATGATGATGATGATGATGATGATGATGATGATGATGATGATGATGATGATGATGATGGTGATGCCGACGACGATGATGATGATGCTGCTGATGATGTTGATGCTGCTGCTGATGAAGATGATGCTGATGATGATGATGATGATGATGATGATGATGATGATGATGATGATGAAGAAAAAGAAGAAGAGGTGGATGAGGAGGAGGAGGAGGAGGAGGAGGAGGAGGAGGAGGATGAGGAGGAGGAGGGGAGAGCAAGCGGAGTGAGGACGAGGAGGAAGAGGAGAGGAGGAGGAGGAGGAGGAGGAGGAGGAGAGGAGGAGGAACAGGAGGAACAGGAGGAGTGAGGAGGAGTCAGGAGGAGTGAGGAGGAGGAGTGATGATGATGATGATGAGGAGGAGGAGGAGGCGGAGGAGGAGGAGGAGGAGGAGGAGGAGGAGGCGGAGAGGAGGAGGAGGAGAAGGAGGAAGAGGAGGAGGAGGAGAAGTAGGAGGAGGAGGAGGAGGAGGAGGAGGAGGAGGAGGAGGAGGAGGAGGAGGAGGAGGAGGAAGGAGGAGGAGGAGGAGGAGGAGGAGGGAGGAGGAGGAGGCGGAGGAGGAGGAGGAGGAGGAGGAGGAGGCGGAGGCGGAGGAGGAGGAGGAGGTGGAGGAGGAGGAGGAGGAGGAGGAGGAGGAGGGAGAGGAGTGAGGGGTGCCGAGAAGGATGATGAGGAGGAGGGGGAGCAGGAGGAGGATGAGATGTGAGGAGGAGGAGGAGGAGGAATGAGGAGGAAGAGGTGGCGGCGGAGGAGGAGGATGAGGAAGAGGTGGAGGCGGAGGAGAAGAGGAGGAGGAGGAGCTGAACGGAGGAGGACGGGGAAGAGGAGGAGGAGGATGAGGAGGAGGCTTGGCACGGGAGGGCGTATTGCAGCACCATTGGTGCATCTTGGTGTCATTCGCATCCTCCCTCCGCCCTCGTCCTCCGAGGATCGTGTTCGATGGGCGTTCGCCAGTGGCAATGCAGAAATGCTCGTCCTCAGGGGCGCACGAGCATGCACAGAAACGGGGTCTTGGACGCAGGCAGCAGTATTAAGACGGACGAGGCGGGTGGTGATGCTGATGTTGATGTTGCTGCTGCTCCAGCTGATGGTGATGCTGATGATGGTGATGATGATGACGACGATGCCGATGATGACGAAGCTGATGGTGCCGCTGATGATGATGAAGAAGACGATTACGAGGAGGCGGATGAGGGGGAGGAGGATGGCCATGATGATGACGTTGAGACTGACGATGCTGATGAGGAGGAGTATGATGATGCGGCTGCTAGTGTTGATGGTGATGTTAATGCTGATGACGATGATGCTGATGCTGATACCGATGATGCTGCTGATGATGATGCTGATGATGATAACGACGCTGATGCTGATGCTGATGTTGATGATGACGGTGATGATACTGCTTATGATGTTGTTGATGATGATGGTGATGACAATGATGATGATGATGCTGATGATGGTGACGATGTTGATGATGTTGATGATGATGCTGATTACGAGGTTGCTGATGATGATGTTGCTGACGTTGATGGCAATGTTTGTGGTGGTGGTGCGATGGTGGTACTGGATATGATGGTGATGCTGATGCTGCTGATGCTGATGATGATGATGATGATGGTGGTGATGATGATGATGGTGATGGTGATGAGGATGAGGACGCCGATGACGAGACGGCGGAGGAGGAGGAGGATGGTAATGACGATGATGTTGATGCTGACGATGCTGATGATGATGAGTATGATGATGCGGCTGCTAATGCTGATGGTGATGCTAATGCTGATGACGATGAGTACGGTGATGATGCTGATACCGATGATGATGTTGATGATTCGGATGATGATAACAATGCTGATGATGCTGATGATGATAACGATGCTGATGCTGATGCTGATGATGATGATGATGATAATGGTGAGTATCTTGATGATGAGGCTGATGACGATGCTGAGGATGTTGACGATGCTGATGCTGATGACGAGGTTGCTGCTGCCGCTGTGGCTGCTGGTGACGATGATGATGATGCTGATGTTGAGTTTGACGATGGTGTTGAGTATGATGCTGTTCATGATGATGATGATGGTGCTGATGCTGATAGTGATGTTGGTACTGATGCTGGCGACGATGCGTATGATGATGATGATGATGATGATGATGATGATGATGACGATGCTGATGCTGATGATGGGCGTGTTGGTGATGTTGCTGATGATGGTGCTGATGATGATGATGGCGATGCTGATGATGATTATGATGATGCTGATGATGTTGATAGCGATGACGATGCTGCTGATGATGATGACGGTGTTTGTGGTGGTGGTGGTGTGATGGTGATATTGAGTATGATGTTGATGTTGATGATGCTGCTGACGCTGATGATGATGGTGATGCTGATGATGATGGTGATGTGGTGGTGATGATGCGGATGACGATGCTGACGATGCTGTTGATGATGATGATGATGATGATGCTGACGCTGGTGATGCTGATGATGATGATGATGCTGCTGATGCTGGTTCTGATGCTGATACTGGTGCCGATGCTGATTCTCAAGGGGAGGAGGAGGAGGAGGAGGAGGAGGAACAGGAGAAGGAACGGGCGGAAGACGACGAGGAAGGAGAGAAGTATGAGGTGAGGGTGGAGGATGCGGAACACGACGCGAGCACGCGTAGACGACCGAGGGAGGAAAAGGACGAGGAAACGTAGGAGGAGGAGAAAACAGATCAGGTGGAACTGGATGAGGTGGTCAAGGAGGTGGATCAGCAGCAGTGGGAGGAGGAGGGTGAGGAAGACGAGGAGGGTGAGGAGGGGGAGGAGGAGCATTATACGAGAAGGAGTACTGGACGGAGGGAGGTGATGGCGATGGTGCTGTTGACGATGAGCATGATGATGCTGGTGATGATGATGGTGACGATAACGACGACGACGACAATGCTGATGCTGGTGACGGTGGTGGTGGTAATGATGATGAGGGTGATGATGATGATGCTGGTCATGTTGGTGGCGCGGACGACGACGATGATGATGATGTTGATGATGATGCTGATGCTGATGCTGATGATGACGACGAGGATGATTATGCTGATGATGACGACCATGGTGAGGATGCTGTTGATGATGATGATGCTGATGACGATGGTGACGATGCTGATAATGATTGTGGTGATGATGATGTTGTTGCTGCTATTGATGATGCTGCTGATCATGATGATGGTGATGATGATGAGGATGATGCTGGCGCTGATGATAACGAGGAGGATGATGACTGCGCGATGCTGCTGCTGATGATGATTGTGATGATGCTGATGACGATGACGATGTTGAATGTGGTGCTGATCATGATAACGATGATGCTGGTGATGATGATGATGATGATGATGATGATGATGCTGACGATGATGCTGATGGTGCTGCTGATGATGATGATGATGATGACGACGAGGGGGATGATGATGATGATGATGATGATGATGATGATGATGATGATGATGATGATGATGATGATGATGATGATGATGATGATGATGATGATCAGGAGGAGGAGCATGAAGCGGTCGACGATGACGACGACGTGCCTTGGTTCCTGCTCCTGCTGCTACGTTTTTTTCTGCTCCACTTCTGTACCCTCCTCCTGCTCCTTCTCCATCGTGCGGTGCTGTTTTCGTCCGTGGAAAAAGTACAGGCCGTATCTCGCAGCGGGCTCCGTCGGACCTGCACCGCTCCGATTCACTTTTCTGATGCTCCAGAGGCCCCCCGTATGAGCAAGGGACGGCAACTCTACTAGAACGAGCCAAGACCAAGGCGGTCTGGGGAGCCTCCTGAGCCCAGCTCACCGCTGCGTGGTGATGCCGTCCGATGTCCTTCCAGGCGCCGTCGAGTCGTATCGTGCCCTGGCCCTCCTCCAGCTTCTGCCCCTTTCTTCCTCTTCCCCCTCCCCCTTCTCCCGTTCCATCTTCTCGGCCGCTCGCTCATCCGCACCTCCTCCTCGTGGCTTCTTCGTGCAGCGCCCGCGCCAGGGGATCACCCCGTACGTCACCCTGTATCACTGGGACCTGCCGCAGGGCCCCTCGCCCCGCCCTGCCCGCCTCGCCCCGCCAGACGCAGACACAGACACACGGACACAGACACGGGCGCACACACACACACACACACACACACACACACACACACACACACGCGCAGGCACACAGACACACGCACAGACACAGACACACAGACACACACACACACTCAGACACAGACAGACACAGACAGACACACACAGACACACACACACACATACACTGACACACACACACAGACACACACAGACACACACACAGACGAACACGCAGACACACACACAGGGACACACAGACACACACAGACACGCAGACACACAGGCACACAGACACACAGACACACAGACCGACAGACCGAGAGACCGACAGACCGACAGTCAGACAGACACACATAGACACAGACACGGACACGGACACGGACACATATACAGACACAGACATGGGCAGTGGCACAGACACAGACACAGACACAGACACGGACACAGACACAGACACAGACTCAGAAACAGACAAACATCCACAGATGCACACACACATATACATACACACACATCCGCACATGCACACATACACACAGACATAAGCACACACGGAAGAGCGTGTTCTGAGGACGCTTGGAAGCGGGGGGGGGGGGTTCGAACGGGGGGCCCTCGCTGAATTGCAGGGGGGCGGGATTTGAACCGGGGGGGGGAGCCTTCGATTGTAGGGGGAGGGGGGATTCGAACCGGAGAGGCCCCCCTTTCTCTCAAGGGGGGGGGGGGTCGAACCGGGCCACCCGCCCCCCGTGAATTGCAGAGGGCCCTCCCCTCTGCAACCGACGACGGCGAGCGCCAGCGCCGGCGCCTTCGCCGTTGGCCAGCGCCGTCGGGCAGCGACGACGACGACAATGCCGACGACGACGATGCCGACGACGACGAGGAGGACGACGACGGTGACGACGACGATGCTGACGACGATGCTGACGACGACGACGCTGACGACAACGACGACGACGACGACGACGACGACGACGACGACGACGACGACGACGACTACGATGACGACGACGACGACGATAAAGACGGCGGCGGCGGCGGCGCCGACGACGACGACGGCGACGGCGCCGACGACGACGACGACGACGACGACGCCGACGCTGACGACGACGACGAAAACGAAGACGAAGACGACGACGACGCGCCGCCGACGATGACTACGACGACGACGACGACGACCAGGACGACGGCGACGGCGACGACGACGACGACGATCGATCCCAAGTAGTCCTGCTATGAAGGCTGGATCGAGCCCCAATGAGATTTGATCGGAGCTGGATCGAGCTCTAGCAGGATCATTCTGAACCCCTGATCTTTTGCTCGCTCACTCGAGCAAGCGAGCGAGCGAGCGAGTGGACCGACCCCCTCCTTCCCTCGCTCGCTTGCTCAAGCGAGCGAGCGAGCACGCGAACACCATGCATTCAATGTCCCGCCCGCCCGACCCGACCCGCCGGACTCGCTCGCGCGCTCGCTTGCTCGAACGACCGAGCGAACAAGCGAGCGAGCCAGCAAGCGAGCATCATGCCTTCAATGTCCCGCCCGTTTCCACCGACCCTCACTTGCTTCAGCGAGCGACCGAGCGAGAGGACCCCCTCCGTCCCTCGCTCGCTCGCTTGCTCGAGCGAGCAAGCGAGCGCCATACATCAATGCCCCGCCCAGCCCGACCCGTCCGGCCCGCTCGCTCGCATGCTTGCTTCAGCGAGCGAGCGACCGAGCAACCGACCTCCACTCATTGCCCGCCCGACCCGACCCGCCCGACTTTCTCGCTCGCCTGCTACAGTGGGATTCCAGTAGAGCTGAATCGGGTTGTAGGATTCTGCCAGGGTTGTATCGAGACCGATCTGGACGTTGTTTTGGAGCGCCGGAAAGCCGAAAAGGCGAGAACGCCAAAATCTTTCGAACAACCAACGGGAAATCCATCATGTTTGCCTCTTGGGGCCCTCTTGGGGGGCCTCTTGGAGAACTCTTGGGGTGTCCTGGAGGCCTCTTGGAGGCCTTCTGAGCGTCCAGGAGGCCTCTTGTGCCGCCTTTGGGCCATCTCGGGCGTCTTGGAGCGATCGTAAACTGTCTTTGAGGCCTCTTGGCAGCCTGGGTTGGCTTCCTGGGTCGTCATTAAAGCCTTGGAGAGCCCCAGGGAGGTGCCATGGCCGCCTTGAGGAGGCGCAGGAGGCGGAGGTTGCTCAGTTGGTCTGCTTTGGTGGGTCCCCATGGCTGGCCTTGACTGCTTACATGTGCCCCCCTCCAAACGAAAGAAGCATCGTGAGCCGTACAAGACGATACTGCCAGGAATCCCCCTTGCTGCAGTCGCCGCGGTTGAAAGTCGAGCCGATGTTGCGATTGCGGGTGTGGCCAAGGAGGGACACACAAGCCACCAAGCTTTTTCTTTCATTCTTGCAAGGGGGAGGCGGGGTGTGGTGTGGTGTGTGTCATGTGCGGAGCGGAAACGGTGACGTGCGAGGCCTTGCGCAAGGCAAGTGCAGGCAGGGGAAAGAGCGGCTCCAACTCACGGACGCTCGGAGGCACTCGCTTCTTGTCAAAGTTGGTCAGGCGTTTGAACCGAGCCAGGCAACCTGAGGGGCACCCTGTCGCCATCCCCACCGACTGGTGGAAGAACGGATGGGTGAGCCCAGGAGTATTTGTTCGAAGCGCTCGTGGGGATTTCACGGGCGTTTACGGCTTGAGCAGGAGCAGGAGGTGGACGAGGAGGAGCAGGAGGAGGAGAGGGAGGAGGAGGAGGAGGAGGAGGAGGAGGGGGAGGAGGAGGAGAGAACGGGAACTCGGATGATGAGGTGAACAGGGGGGGAGGTGGAGTAGGGGGAGAGGGAGGAAGAGGAGGAGGAGGAGGAGGAGGAGGAGGAGGAGGAGGAGGAGGAGGAGAAGGAGGTGGAAGAGGAATAGGAGGATTTTTTCAACTGCAGATGCCTTCCACCTCAAATGAACCAGACGGCCCCAAGGGCTGACCGCCTAGCCCCGATCATTGTGACCAGGGGCCCCTCTGGACGGTCACGCCGGGGAACTTCGGATGGTGACCTGACGAAATCGCCGTCCAGGCAGCTGAAGCTCCCGCACTTCGGGGGGCCTTGTTGCATTCTTTGGCGAGATTCCTCACCTGGCCATGGCCTGAGTAGGCCTTGCATTTCAGACACACGACCAGGGTCGCCCCGTCAGAGCATTCAAGTGAAACGCACCTGTGCTGAAGCCTCGAGAGGACCTGGGGGTCAAGCTTATGGAGACCCCGACAGTTCCCCACGGCAGGTTTGTCACGAGACCGACTGACCTTCAAACACCCTTCACAACGCCAGAATTTCGAAGTAAAAATCCAACGATGGGGCACGACATCGGGCCTATCACGAGCAGGAGGCTTGGTGCGCTCAACTCCCTCTTCGAGGCGGAGCGCAGGCCAAAGGGGCAGCAGCTTCGCCGCCAGCACTCCTACAGCTCTCGCAACAGCAATGTTCTGGTCGAGGGTTGTCATTTTCTGATCGTCGGGCTGAGGATGGGACCGTGCCGCAACCTTCGCCGACGCATCCACAAGATTGTTACCGATGCGCATGAACTTATCATCTTCGCAAATTGCCTCTGAGACGTCCAAATGCGCCTTCACCTTCCGCACATCAACGAACGGAAGGTTTTGCCAGACGAACTGGGCACAACCAGAATACATCCTCTTATGTGATGTCTGGTTGACCCATGAAAGCGAAACAGAATCGTACACATTTGAGCAATCCGTAAAACTAGTGGACTTGGAACTTAAATGTCGAGCAGCAGCAGCAAAGGCATGAAATTCAGCACTGGGGAGTTTGGGGATAAGGAGGCCAGACGGGACCCCTGATACGGATAACCTCCTGGAGGGTCTGCCTGTCAAGCAACGTCACGGCCCAGCCTGCTCGAGACAGCTCAGGCACGAGATGTTTGAAGCAGGAGCCGTCGACGAAGAGCTCACCGTGGAAGTCACGCTCAAAATCCAAATGCTCGAAGCCGGGGCAAAGCTCCGTGACAACGCCATCTTCGAACAAAGGCTGAGGATGCCACTCGCCAGGATGGGGAACGACTCCGAACGTAGCAAGAACATCATCCGCTTCCCCCGCCCACTGCTGCACCTTAGCTGGCACAAGTTCGTCGCGCTCTGCCTGGCAGGCCGGGCAACACCACAAGCGGTGCCTAAGTGTGTCGACTGCATCATGACAGAGCTCGCACACATCACTAACATCATACCCGAGCCCTTTGGCCCTAGACCGGGTATAAACGGCATGGCAAAACAGGGACCTAATACACCCTTTCTCGAAGGCGGTCATCTTCGCGCTGCGCAGCCAAGAAAGAATCCCCTCCCCGCAAGCCCAGCCAATATTCAACCTAGCTCCGAGATCCCACTCCAAAGTCTTGATGACGGCTCTGCGAAGCAAAGCCCGCACCATGGCAGGCGAAACCTGAGTGAGGTGAATATCGATACCTCGGTCATCACGGAGCACCGTGAAAGAAGGCATGGTCCAAGAAATACGCTCAAGAGACTTCCTCATCGCTCTGATCGGGCCCGACACCGACCTCCACAGCCCCGAATCCCGAGAGAACACCGAATGCCAAGCCGATCGCAGCTTGGCGAACGAAGTAGAGAACGGGTAAAGCCGATGGTGGGTGATCCAGACCTCCTTGGCCCAACGGGCGATCGGGGCGACCGCCGCAGTCCAGGTGGGGTCGCTATGGCAAAGCAGGAGCGCCGTCAAGCTCCTGCCCCTAGCGCTGGGGCGAAGGGCTTTGCCGGCCATGCGCCGCAACTGCAATAACTCATAATCTGAAACCCCGTGGATGTCGCAACCATACGTGGCGCCTGGGAGGGGGCCGGCAGTAAAAACGCGGTTGCACCGCTGCCCACCGATGGTGGGCCTCAAACGCCCAAGCCGGGAAGTGCGAGCAGACGCGCTCTGCATCCGCTCTTTCGCCTTCGCGGAGCGGCCTTTCACACGGCGGG